GCAGCCAAATCTCCAAATCATATTCAGCCACATCGATTCAGGACAGTGATTTGAATCACCAAATCGAATCACTGTCCCCCCGAATCAGCTGAATCTGAAGCAAATACTAGTCGCTTCACACAGGCCTACTGATTACCCACCCATCAGCCCTATTGTCTCTGCATATTTGTGTACACACAGTCAAGCCTTACCTTTCTCTAAAAGTGCAAAGTTTCAAAAAGATAAATGAATAAAGGATATCAAACAACAAGAATGCACTTCTTGTAGGAAACAATGATTAAATTGAGGCTTCCTGACCAGTGATGTAAATCATAATTTAAATTGATTTGTTTTAAATCAAATCCACTCTGACACGTGGACATAAAAGTCTGTTTATATATTATGAATTTCAGTCTCAATGAGTAAATGGATATCATATAGGAAAATTAAAAATAATAAAGAAATGGGATGCCAGAGCTAACAGCTGGTAATGGAGGTATAGGGTTAAAGAGTAGGGGTATGCATAACGTGCCATATTCAGTTCAGATTCAGATACAGCCCAAATCGGGGACAGTGATTCAAATTGTTGATTTGGATCATTGTCTCCAATTTGATTTGCCCGAATCCAAATCTGAAGATTCGCTGTTGATTTGTAGAATCAGCCATTCGGCCATAGACACAGCTTTAAATGTTTTTTCTACATATCTCGAGGTACCAGGCGGCTTGTAAACAGTACAATTCTGGGGTGGATGGAGCATCCCACAGGAGCGTGGGGGGGCCCCTGCGCGCTCAATGGTGAACCCAAAAGTGCCATAGAGCGCCTGCTGGCCAGGACCCTGTACCCCTGCTGCCCTGCTCTGGGCCCTGCTGGCACTGGCCCTGTGCTCCCATGCCTGCTCACTCCCAGTGCCCCGCCCCCAATCCCACAGTACAAGAAGGGAGCAGCATGCAGTCCTGACCCCCTGCTCCATGGCAGGGAAGGAGCTGGTGCTGAGCGTGGGGGAAAAGCAGCCCCTCGCCCGCCCCATGTTTGGCTCTCCCTGCTGCAGCCACTCACAGCCCGCGCAGGGCTGTCATGAGCAGGCACAGGCAGCCCCATGCAGGCTGTGAATGGCTGCAGTGTACGCACTGGCCATGGGACGAGGGTAGGGCAGCTTTTCATCCACACTCAGCACCAGCTTGTAACCCAACCCAGCTGTCAGCCTGGGCCCCACACCAACTCCGGGCTTGCCCGTTGGGGCTGCGCCGCAGTGGCAGCAGCTGTGGCACCCCCACTTGCCACACCGGACAGTGTTTGCTGCTGCTGCCCTCCCAGAGCTCACGCGCTGGGCAGCACAGAGGTGGCAGTGGCAGCCTCACTGCAGCCTACAGCAGTGCGAGCTCCAGGCAGGCAGCAGCAGCAAACGCTGCCCGGCATGGCAAGTGAAGGGGCCACAGCTGCTGCCACCACAACACAGCCCCAACAAGCAAGCCCAGACCCAGTGTGGGGCCGGAGTACAAGCTGGTGCTGAGCATGTGCAGGGAGGGGAAGCAGCCCCTTGCCCGCCCTGTGGCCCGTGCCCCGCACTGAAGCTGCTCACAGCCTGAATGGGGCTGCCTGTGCCTGCTCAGGACAGCCCCACATGGGCTGCGAGTGGCTGCAGCAGGGAGCGCCGGCCATGGGGTAGGGAAGGGGCCGCTTTTTCCCATGCTCCATACCAGCTCGTCCCCTGCCCTTTCCCCCCCTTACCTGAGTTTCCCCATGCTAGTGCAGCCACATGGTCCCTGGTCGCCTGGCTGAGCGGGTGGGGGCAGGTGGGCCCTGCTGTTGCAGGAGCCTGCCAGGTTTCCCCTGGGTCCTACTGCCCCTTGTTCCTGTCATCTGACAGGAACCAAGGACAGATAAATTTTAATTTTCAAAAAAAAATTAGGGGCCCCACGGGCCAGATAGAATAGCCTCCAGCCCATGGGCTGGATTTTGCCCACCCCTGGTCTAGGATATCAGTTATCAAGGAAAGATGCCAAATAATCTTAGAACAGTTTACATTTGGTAAATCCATGTTGCATTTCATCCCCGTTTCCCTTTTCCTTTATGCCTTTAGGCTAAAGTCAGGGTGTGTGGCACCTTGTAGACATATTTGTTCAGAGGCATGAGCATTCATAGGCTACACTCTACTTTCTCAGATGAATCTCATGAAGTAAGCCAGGACTGTCCACTTGGGGGCCTGGGGGCCACATGCAGCCCTCAGGAGCCTCTGGGCTTCTACCTAGCCACCACCAGAAGTGGATCCAAGATTTTATAAAGGGGGGTGAGGAAATAGCAACCAGCACTGCAGGAGTAGCTGCACCCTGCCACTCCAAGCCTCCTCCTATGGCCTAATGCAGACCATGCCCCAGGAGCAGCAGCTGGGAACTTTAAGCCAAAAAAGATAGGTATTCCCCCATCCCTTCTCCATACTCAGATGCATGTCCCTTTCTCCCCCTCCCTGTCCCCTCTCCTCCCAGTGCCCCCTCCCCCGCCCACCACGGCT